TTTGAGTCCCTGAAATCTCGCTGCGTGCTAATTGACCGCGAAAATCTTCTGACGGAGCACAAGATCGGTTTCAAACCGATGCAGGCCATGGAGTTCAACATCAAGGAAGCGGAGCTAAAAGCTGCGTTGCCTCGCATTGTCAGTGTAGCCCCGTCATCTCCCTCTAAATCAGCTCAATTATCTGAAGCAATATCCACTTCAACATCTCTTCCAAAACCAACTGAAATAATACTTCTCGATACACCCATAAAACCAGCTGTTAAAGAAGAAGTAGTGGAGCCTCTTAAACCCGCATTAAAACCCGCTCTAAAAGGAACACCTGTAAAAGTCAAACAGGAATCTAAAGAAACCGAAATCAAGCCTATGACAAACAGTACACCCATTAAGACTATTATGGGTGTTAAAATAAAAAGGGAAGTCAACTTAAACTTGGAGCATAGTGTCCACGTCAACATCAAAAAAGAAACGGCGGTAAATACCGAAATGGAAGAATCGGAAATAATTCCAAAGCCCAAGATGAAAGGCACACCTGTCAAACCCGATTTCAGTCTTATAAAAATAGAAAGTAATGAAGGAACGCCTATAAACCTAAGTGAAACCGAAGAAGATGACCAGAAAACTAGCGAAACCCCGGCTAAACCTTTGATGAAGGGTACTCCAATTAAGCAGCGCTTGGGAGGCATAAAAGTAAAGTCCAATGAAATTTTGCTGGAGACGCCTGCTAAGCCGCAGCGCAAGGGAACTCCAGTTAAGCTAGTAAAGCTGCAAGCCGAAACTGAAGACAGCGGTGAAGAGTCGTTTAAGGAAACTTCCTTGAAGGCAGATGAAATCGATTGCGTGGAAGTCCTGGATAGAACGGCGCCACAAAAGCCGCAACGCAAAGGAACTCCTGTAAAGATTCCTGTCATGAAAGACGGTACTAACAGCAATGTGCGCTCTATCCTGTCCAAAAAACGGGAAGTCTTTGCCGAAGATTCGCAAAAGGCGGTCAAATTTAGTGCAAATGATCCGATTGTCCACAATTTAAGTCCTCTCGAAAGATGCCAACGTGAAGAGCTCGCCAAGGAAAACACAAAGCCAACGGAAACGGAAGAATCCAACGACATTAAACCCACAATCAAGAGGCCAAACATCATAAGGCGTATCGTTTTGAGCTCCCGAAAACCAACTATGAAATGATTGCATCTGTTTTCTAATGGAAACTTTAATTCGAATTTATACTAAGGCACTCTTAACAATAAATTACACAGCTACAGCAGAGAAATACAAATACAAATAAAGACTAAATAATATAAATTACTCGTTTTTTAGCTTTGACTCAAAACTTTTGAGAGTTTCGGAATTGCTATAAAGTTATTTAAAAGAGCTTATCACAATACAAAAAAAAGCAAGGTCGAATTTCTTTAAATATGTTTGTTAGTTGCTTTCTTAGGAAACATTGAAAACTTCGCAGAAATTCTTAGATGTGATTAGCAAGCAACTTTGCAGGAAGTGACATAGAGCATTCTTGTAACATTTTCAATGCCCGTATGACACTTACTATAAATTTACTGATAACGTGCGAATTTAAAATAAATAAACACTATTTATAGTTTCTAAGATCTCAGCGTTTATACGGGCTGGCAGGCGGACACGGCTATATCGACTCGTTTATTGATCCTGATCAAGATACATTTATCCTTTATATGATCGGAAACGAATTCCATTTACTCTAAGCGTAACGGGTGTATTAACTATTTTATAGTAATTTCGTTCTGATGAGTATAAGTTTTTGAATGCGGAGTGAAGGATATTTAGGAAATGTCTCTAAGTTCGTCCAGTTTTGGCATCTCCTCCACAAAGGACAGATGATCGTAGATGGGAGCCGTAGGAGCTGGAATAATTGCCAAGATCTCATCCGTGTCTCCATTCTCATCCGCCTGCTCTTTGATCTCTGCGTACAGTTGGTATGGCAGTTCGGTGGGTAGAGACTCGTAGGTGACATGATGAGTCCTTGAGCAGGTGGATTCCCTGTGACCCGTGCAATTGCAAATCGAGGTACCTCCACTTACTGGAGTCTCGTAACCGTCTGGCAGCTCCGTTTCCAAATCCACTGCAGAACCATTACCATTGCCATTTGCAATGGGAAAGCGCACGATATCCACATGATCCACAAACCTAGGTCCACTGGATGATTTTTCGCCACCAAAACAAGGCAATCCCGAGGCGTAGTAGGACAAATGAAAGAGTCGCTCGCAATGCAGGTATAGATAGAGCAACAGGAAAAGAAACGCAATCCCTAGAGGCAACATAAATACGATTATCAGAGCCAATGATCGCTGACTTCGATGCAGTTCGACGGGATTTCCGTAAAGAACTGTAAAACTGGAGACGTTTCCGGGGGGATGCGATACGGGAATCGCAGAATCCGTACCATTGATTCTCACATGCATAATTCTTCTCGCCTTGGGCGGTTCTTCCGTAGGGGGTTCCTGAGGCTTACAGCTCAGTCCGTTAACATTAATATGGGATATATATTTGGAGTACTGGAAAAGTCGAAATAACTGGGGCTGAGTGTGCGAGAAGTTCAGCAACCACTGGCAGCTCCAAGGATTACCATCGATTGAGATCCGGAGCTGTGGGTTCCAGTACGGATAATTGGCTTTTTCTGTTTCCCTAAGACTCATTAGTTTATTGGATCTCAAGTCAATATGCTGAATTGTTGCTGAAGAAAGCATGCCCAGTTGGAAGAGCGACAATGAGTGGAAGCGGTTCTCCTGCAGGTAGAGAGCCCGCAGACTGGTGGTCCTATAAAACCATGTGAAGTTCAAGTGCTCCAACTTATTTCTACTTAAGTCCAATGTGGTAAGCGTACTTGGTCCATCATGAAAACTTATATTTAAAGACACCAAAGCATTGCCACTTAGGTTCAGATAAACAATTTCCAGATTGTGTGGGGGTTCCAAGGCAAAGTTTCGCAGCTGGCAATTTGTTAGGGTAACGTTAACAAGTTTGGCTATACCTTTGTTCAGAAATAAGTCCCCCGGCTGGATGGGCGTACCTTCCAGTATCAGATCGGTTAAATTTTCTGGTAAGTTCTTCAAAAATGAGCCCTCTATTTGTTTGATATTTATCAAACTTAGTTTTCTTAACTCAGGCAACTGCAGAATGAAGTCCTTATCTTTTAGGACCAGATCATTTTCATCTTTGATAAAGAGCTCCTCCAGTTCCGCAGATCCTTGAAGCTTTTCCAGGTATCTCAAGGAGTTTTGTTGCAGTTGCAGAAGCTTTAGGTGTGGCAAGTCCTGGAATGTATCTTTACTTAATGTACCCAACTCATTGTTTTTTAAGGATACATTGGTGAGATTTGGTATTAAAGCTCCTCCACAGCTTAATTTCAGGGTGGCATCGCCCACAAATCGTTGGATCTCAACACTTTCTAGATCTACACAATTATCCAGGTACTCCAGACCATAACTTGAGATACCCAAGGGAGGTGTTTGTGAGCCATCGAGGAGGACATGCCTCTTTCCGGTAACTCTTTGGGCGCCCATATCGAAGGGATTCGATTCCAGGGTATTGTTTACGCTACAGTCAATATCCAGAGGCAATCCAAAGTCCTCACTGTGCCTTTTCGAAGAAGATGTCATATAGAGCGTTGCCCGAATGACGCAAGCAGAAGGCAATGTTATGGACTCGTAGGCGGAAGGCATCATCTCATCGCCAGCTGCCCGCACGTGTGACAAAATCAGCGATACGACAACGACGAAGACGCACTGCGTCATCATCCCGGAAAAATGCGAAGTGCCCATCGGAGCGTGTCACTGCGAATCCGCTAAACTATCAAACTCATCCGTGGTCGACGCGTCGTGTGCGAAAATCAAACTGAGGCGAGAACAAATCGCCGAGCGACCCTCACATTGGAAAAGCCAAATTGAAAAGCCAAATACATCGGCGCACCTTTGGCTTCATTTCAATATGCTCCCCGCTGGCCATCTCCGATAATATGATACCCACTGCTCCTAAATTGCAAGGTATGCTGCATTTATCACTCTTTCGGCTACCAAAAAAATGGTTAGAAGGTTAGAAAACTGTTGAGTTGGCTCTTACGGCTCTTATGACTCATGCAAATTTTAAAAGTTTCCATGGCTGATAAGCCGCCATAAACCGAAAGTCCACAAGAAGGAACTTGGGATTATAATGCTGGGGATTATTTCAGCACATTGGAATGTTTTCTATTAAAAAAAAACATTTTTACAGACCCGCAATCTCGTATCAGGAAATTTATAAGGACCGGAAGTTGTCATATATGTTTAAAATCTTGATCAAAATTGAAATTTTTCTTCAGAACGACGACATTTTTTAGACCCCAGCAGCTTTGAGACTTATTTGCATTGAGTATGATCAAATTGTAAACATCTTTATATTACATATTTTACTTCAATTAAGTATGATTACCTGCATTGTACTGATTGTTAAATAATTTATTTAGAAACATGGTTTGTTTGAGTTTGGTAAATCAAAATAAATTTTGAAGTTGTACCAGGTATCTGGTAGTCGCCCACCTTAGCATTTGTATTTTTTGTAATATCAAAAATTATTTCTCGGTGTTATATATTTAGACCGGCTGACGTTCTCTCTTTCTTCTCTCTCTTTCTCCGCAGAAGAATGCTTCCTATTTTCTTCGTACTCATCGACCCCAATTCCCTGCCCCTTTAATTCCACTGGCGCCCACAAAGACCACCCGTTTTCAAACACTTTTCGCAAAGAATCACCCTCCAAAGTGGCTGTGAAAATTGTTTACATATTATTGCATATATACAACATCCGATGCTATATTCAATGTGAATCAGCTGTAGAACAGAGCAAAGTGGATTTCTTTAGAAGGGTATTGTTTACATTGCATATTTTGATCGGCAATTGTTGAGTGCGTAATTAGGTTTGGAATGAGATCACAAAATGCCAAAAAAGGCACAAATTTAAAATAAAATAATGAATAATATTATCATAAGGTACAGACCTAAACTATAGGTACTAATTTACTTGCAAGTGAGAAAACTAGAAAGACTTTTAAAGCTTATATTTACAAGAGACGGCATTTCCGATTTGAATCTCATGGTTTCGCAGATTACGACCACTCTATAAAACTCTTTTATATAAATATGCAATGGATAATGAATTTTAGATTAGAAATTGAACAATTGAAATACTGTTTTAAATTTACTGAAATCTCTGGGGACGCCACGTGCAACAACAAAAATGTATAAAAAAGAGGGAAGTGATTCTACCACACTATATTGTTGTACATTTTTCTTCCGATTTTTCTTCTCTTGATGCTGATAAGAAATCTACCCCTGCTTGGAAATAGTTTCGAAATACTTTATCAGCTCCTTTTTCTTTATCCAAATTTATAAATTCTTGCATTTCGGAGGTATTGAGTTTTATTGCTGAACACGGATCGGTCAGTCTTTCTTCCACTTTTGCGGATTATACATCTAAAGCTACAGCCGCAGTACTTGCAGCTATGGCATTTTACTGGGCTTTCGTACTACTTCTGACTTATAGTATAGACCACACAAATGGAGTTTGTGTAAAATCTTTAGCCTTAGATCACGGAAAGGTCACATATAAGGACAATGGATTTTCAGTGCTGTTTGAGTGTGACCCGGGTTACAAACTGCAGGGAAGTCCAGAGATTCCCTGCAATGAAGATGGTCTTATTACAGAATTAAAGCCATTCTGTGCCAGTAAGTGCTAAATATTTGTTATTAATTTATATCGATTTAAAGTTGTGTAAAAATAATTTTTATCAATTTTTACAAGTCAAGCAGTCAAGCAGTAATCACTAAACTAAAGCAAACTTGAACAACATTATGGACATCATTTTGATTGTTATTAAAACAAAATAAATTTAAATATAGCGTTAGTCTAAAATTCAAAAGCTTCTGTTACAACACTATTTTACTTTCTAGAACTAAATACGGTTTTAAAATTTGTATTGATTAACAAAGTTTGTGATTAAGAAAGACACGTAACAAGTAAAGCATTTTTGAAGGGAAATAAAAAAAAAAATTATTCTAGGTCAGGTTTTTTTAAAGAACTAATTAAATGTATTAATATTAAAAATATAAATGTGTTATATACCATACAAATGTCCCTTATTTGTTACAAATTTTAGAAAGCGGCTGCATATTTGGAGGCGCAAACATTACAAATTCTTTAAAGGAAGAGGTATCATGCCCAAATGAAGATTTGTTTGGACATTCCATTGCCTATTGCGATGGAGAAAAGTGGAGCAACGAGCTGGGAATATGTGGCACTCAACCCAAAATAGCATACTCCTGCAATTTCGAGAACACGAATCGGTGCAACTGGATGCCGTTCCCGAATCCTAGTCTTTGGAATCGGGTCAGTAATGTCACCCACTTCCATTACGCCGAAACTGGACCCCACGCCGATAGCGAATTCGATGGATACTACATGCGGATGGTGAAAGGCAAGTCCTCGGACAGGCACCACTTGTTATCGCCAACGTATCCCAAGGAATTCAGTCTGCAGAACGCCTGCTTCTCGTTCCGCTACTTCATGTTCGGTCGCGGAGTGGATTCTCTAGAAGTGTCAGTTGCACCAGACTCCAATCCGTTCAATGTCACCATTACGAAGTAAGTTGATTAGTTGCTAAAAGGGCAAAGCTTACGCGATAGAAATGTATCATTAATAATTAATATTATTGTCGATATTAGTTCAGAACTAAATCAAAATATTATTATAATATTTAATATAATATTACTTTCTTAAAACTTAGATTTCTTGCATTAATACTTTATTTGCCATTTATAATAATCTATCTATATTCCTTTAGGTTTATTATAACGGAATCCCAAGCAGCCAAGTGGTTAATTGGGACTGCAATTAAAAAATTATTTTAATATTTAATATAATATTACTTCCTTAATACTTAGATTTTTGCATTAATACTTTATTTGTCATTTATAATAATCTGTCTATATTCCTTTAGGCTTATTATAACAGAGTCCCAAGCAGCCAAGTGGTTAACTGGGACGATTACCATTCCCAAAATGGAGCAGGACTTTAAAGTGGTCTTCACGGGTATCAATTCTAGGCGTCAATTCGCGGACATCGCCATCGATGATGTGAAGCTAATGTCGGGTGAGAACTGCACACAGCTCTTAAGCCAGGTGCCACCAAATCCCAACACTCCGGCACTACCAACACCCAGTAAAGGAACACAACCGCAACCACAAGTAAAATCGCTATCACAAGTAATTTCGCAAGCACCAGTTCAATCGCCAGTATCAGTTCAATCGCCGGCACCAGTTCAATCACCAGCACCAGTTCAATCGCCAGCACCAATTCAATCGCCAGTATCAGTTCAATCGCCGGCACCAGTTCAATCGTCAGCACCAACTCAATCACCAGCACAAGTTCAATCGCCAGCACCAATTCAATCACCAGCACCTGTTCAATCGTCAGCACCAGTTCAATCGTCAGCACCAATTCAATCACCAGCACCAGTTCAATCGCCAACACCAATTCAATCACCAGCACCTGTTCAATCGTCAGCACCAGTTCAATCGCCAGCACCAATTCAATCGCCAGTATCAATTCAATCGCCGGCACCAGTTCAATCACCAGCACCAGTTCAATCGTCAGCACCAACTCAATCACCAGCACGAGTTCAATCGCCAGCACCAGTTCAATCGCCGGCACCAGTTCAATCTCCAGGTCAACCAAAGGCACCAGTGTCGAAAGCGGCAATATTACCAAAACCCACCACTGAGCAACCAAGTGCGACCAGCCCTTCGACTAAAAAAGCTAGAAACAGTTCGTTTAGATCTGAATTATCTATTTTCATCGCTACATTGGCCTTAGCTTTGCCGCTTTATTTTATTTAAGAATATCATTTTTTTTTAAATCAAGCCACAAATGAAGGGCACATCAGCATTTTCCTATTAGCATAGTATTTCTGAGATCAAAATTTGTAAAAGTTTGACGTTCTTTTTAAATCTTTAAATGTTACATTCTTAAACCTTAAATTAAGGATTTTTAATTTCAATAAATATTGGGTACAAATCAGCCCACGAGCACTACAAATTTGAATTTTAAAGATTTGGTGAAGTTATTATCAATGTCCGAAAAATTTTGTTTGGGGATGGGTAGTTATTTAAATAAGGTGGTACATCTGGAACAAGTCCAGGGTCTCTACAGCTGTCATCTAACTTATTTCCCTTATAATGCGATTGAGTACTTTATATAAATGGAATTTTTTCAAAAGTGTAGGGCAGATTGAGAACAGATATGTTTTGAATTCAGCTATGATGGATATTACGTGGTTGGACATAGCTTTGCCTAATGCGATGGAAAGTGGAGCACAAGAAACAACTCCTTAAGAAACTACTCCTGCTACTTCAAAATTGAGGGTATGTGCGGTTGGACGACGGAAGGTCAGTTTTTGGGGTCTTAGAAAAAGATCAGCACAGTGCAAGACTTCCAATCCATAAAACCAGAGCCCCAAAATGATCACACATTCCGGAAGTCATCATCCAATCTATTTCAGGGAACTGAGTTTGAAGAACGCTTGCTCTTGGTTCCATTATTTTATGTTCGAACAGGGAGTGGATAGCCTGGTCTCCGTCAAACCCATTTCGATGACCTTAAGAGATATGTGGACAAGCTCAGGGCCAAGTTAGTTGCTTACATCGAGAATCTCTTGCTTCTCAAAAAGGTTCTTCTATATTTTGACAAAAAAACAGGAATTTCAAGACACTATAATCTCTTGTTTAGTTATAGAAAAATCTTTTCCCTATCCATTCAGTTCCAGCAAATTCCAAATGACTAGCTCACGGGATGACAAGTGGAGGTAGACTTTCAAGTGATTTTCACGGCCTCGAATGGGATGTCCCGATTTGGAGACATTGTCATAGACGACGTGAAACTGATGACGGGTGAGGAATGTGAAGATATTGTGCAGACTACCAACGAACCATCATCAACACAAGTAACACCGCTGACTAACGTTGAACTGATCTACGTAATTATATAAGGGAGTGCGTCAAGGATTTCGTTAAAAATCCCTATGAGACTGCTTTTTCAAGGCTTTGCGAACTAAAGGAACGGAAGAGTATTGAATAAATAACTGAACCAACCCAAATACCGCAACACATTAAAACCAATCATTAAAAGGACTTTTAAAAAACGTGACACGTTCACATGATCATTAGAGTGAAATCATTGGTGTTTCGATAACGGCGGGAAATGTCCAGGCAACTTGATGGTACGGTCAAAGTTACAACCGTGCCTTCAAGTTGCCTGGACAGCTGATGGAGCCGATCTAGGTCTAGGGCTAGATCCCTCTAGATCTTGGCCTTCAGCGTTCGCGGGCTACCGAGTCGTCCGGTGCTGGACCCCTGCTGATTTATCCTGATCAGACTGGGTCGATGGGAACCATCTCCCGCTAAGTGGGTAATGCCGGCCGAACCACCGCCACTACAAGCGATGCCCGCACCACCCGGATTCGTCATGGAGTAGATGTGACGCCTTAGAACCCTTATATGCTTCTGCGACACCTCGAAATTGTGGACCAAGGTGTGGAGCTGCGTCTGGAGTTCAGCTATCAGGCTATCCCGTTCCTGGATCAAGCTGGACGTGGAGTTTTGACTCCTACTCAGTTTCAGTTCGAGGTCGTAGATCTTTTTCTGGAGATCCCTGCGCTGCTTTTCGCTTTGCTCTCGATGGCGGGAAAGTTGCCTTTTACTGGTCGCCTGAAGCTGTTCCAACTGATCCTTTGTCGTGGACAGCTCCTGCGTTAATTTCCGCTTCTCCGTCTTCAGGGCCGAGTTGTAGTTTTTGAATATCTTTAGATCCCTTTCGGCCGCCTTCAATCGATTGATGGTGACCAGCTTTCTTCGCCCCAGCTCATCGATCTTGACTTTCAGTTGCATGGCTTCCTGTTGGAGGGCATGAAGTTTATCCGCCAGCAGACAATTTTCCCGCATTACCTTCTCGTATTTTGTATGCTCGTCCCGCATCATCTTGGGCAAATGCGAAACACTCTTCAGTTTGTTGTCTATCTTGGATCGCAGACTATCAATGTCATGATAGATGCTCGACTCTAACTGCTTGTTGTTCACATGCAGCTTTTCGATTTCGTGCTTTTGGGTGCTCATGATGTCCTGTGCCTTGACACACCGAGTATGGTAATCCGCAATCCGTTCCTGCTGCTGCCTAATGAGCGTTCGAAACTGGAGCTGCTCGCTCTTCAGGCTCTTGATGGTGGTCAGGAGCTGGCTGAGGTCGTCCGAGCCTCTGTTCCTATCCCGATCTCGTTCATGCTTGTACTTGTGGTCCTATTTGGCGAGAAGGGGAATAGTCAAAAAGTTATAAAATAATAAATAATATTACAGATCATCAGAATTTTATTCTTTTCTAAAAATCCTATGACTTTAAGAGGCGTCTAAAAAAAAACGAAGTCCTCTCTTAAGGCATATTGTTGCATACTTTTAGACGCCTTTATAAGTGATTTTAAAGCCCCACAGATTTTTCTCAGCCAAATTCTACCTGTGAGGTGTTGATCACATCCTTCAGCACATTATAGACGTCCTTGAATGATGCTGGCTCCCTCTCCCGATCGTCCTTCTCCAAGGATTTTTTTCTTCGCTTTATATGACGATTGGCCAAAGTTTCCACAATACGGCTATCGAAAACACTGTCCACCTGCGATGAGAGACTTTCCTTGTTTCGATGATGCTTCGTTTGATGATTACCCCTTTCGGATGGGTATTTCTTTCGGCTGATATCATCACAGGAACTCTGGGCGGAAAGAACCGTCATGAAACTGGTATTGCTGCGCAGGATTTGGGGACTCTTTCGTCGGATGGTCATTTTCGAGGCCACACTGCTGGCCGAACTATAGAAACTACCCGGATCCGCTTCACTTCCCATATCCATTTCCGAAGTTTGTGCCCTGCTGGATACCAAATGATCGTGCTTCTGCTGCATTTCGCTCAGCTCGTAGTTGATTTTCATATACTTCTCCTCCAGATCCTTTGTGGTTTCGTTGTATTCCTTAAGCTCCTGCTTGTACTTGCAAAGCTCTTCCTTCAGCTTGGTCCCAATAGCTTCTGAGTTGGGTAATCTCCTGTCCGAATCCCCATTTTTGTGATAATCTTCTTCTTCTGGTTCGCCATCACTCATGATTAGATTAACTTCTCTACCTTCCTTGCCGTTCTGGGACAGTTTCACAATACTCGGACTACAATGATCCCGGAAGCCTAAGCTACTGGCACTCATCTTATCCTGAACATTTGAATTCTGACGGGATAGGCTGACATAGCTAGTCTTCTCATCGGGCTGATCTCCGCTCTTCTCATCCAATTCGAAATCCAGTCCCATCGAGATGGAACGAACTCTTTCCCGATTTTTCGGTCGAAATCCAAGTGTGCGTTGTCTTGTGGCTAGCGGCCCCCTTGATGGCTTTAACATCTACGAAAATTTAGCCTATTCGATTTACAATTCACTTGATTAATTTTTTGCACTGTTTTTGGCCAATAGAGAATTTTTTTAAAACGTTATGACACATTCGTTTCCCAAAAAAGTAGAATTTTTACGTGAGACGTTACGAAAATTATTTCATGGAAGATATGCTGTTACGCCTACTCATATATCAACTTATTTCTGGACCATATCGCAAAATCTTTAAGATTTTGGATAATATCTTAGCTTGGCTTAGTTCTTTAATACATTGTAATGTAAATTCTACATAACTTTAAAATATAATAATTGTAATATATTTTATAAAATTTTTTTTATAAAAACCTAAATTTCTTTACTTAAAAATTCCATTGCCTTTATATTAGACTGCGTTTTAATTTTGACCCAATTCAAGTAGCGGCAGTAGTAAATATAGTTGTTTGTTTCGCCGAACAAATGCCTGGATACGCATTCCTCCTTCTGCAGGACACTTTCTTCACCCTGCCCGGGGTAGGGGTTTCCTGAGAAGCTCCACTCCACCTGGACAATTGTGCCCAACGCAGTGCTCCGGGATCTTTCGTTTGTCGCTCCAAAGTCCGAGCAGGCCATTCCAAATCTGCTGCCAACTGTCCAGGCCGAGCGTCCGAGGGTCTTTCAGTTCATTTTATTCGTTTACGAAGAAAACAACTGATTTTTTCTAAAACTTCTTTCGAAATTATTTTTTTCAGAATATGTGTTAAATTTTCTTGCCAGAATAGAAGTAGCCCAAAATCGTTAGTTATTCTAACCGGGAAAAATACAAAAAAAAAATTAATCAAATTCCAGACAAGATAGACTTACTTCTATTCGTTTTTTGGCCGAATCGGTAACTGAATCTGAGACGCGATGGCGGAGAACACAGAGTACACGGATGAGGGGGGCGAGTACGAGGACGATGAGAACCAGTACCTCGGCGAGCAGCATATGATGGAGGAGGGTCCTGACGAGGATCTGTTCTCCAAACTGGGCGAATCCTCGGACGATCCCGAGCAGAAGCGCATGTACATGGAGTACCTGGCGCTAATCAAAGAGATCGACTGCCAGAACAAAATCATCCAGGACATCAAGAGCAACATCATGGACATGTGCGCCAAGCCGTGCAAGACGCGGAACGAGCTGCGCGAGATCAAGCGGCTGAGGATCTGCATGGAGCAGGAGAACATCAAGCTGCACACCATGATGAACAGGGCGGTGCAGTTGCAGAACTTTGGCTCCCATCGCCATTACAAGGAGCTGCCAATGACCACCACCGTGGACGAGGACAACCTGTCGCCGTATATGTGCGGTATAGGACCCTGTGCGCCGGCTGGCAGTGCCACGGATCCCTGCAGCGATGAGCCCAGCTCCTGTGCCAGTGTTTGCGGAGGCGGAGGTGGAGGTGGTCAACGGGATGTGGCCGGTCAGGACGACAAGCTGATCTGCGCCCTGCAAAAGGCCATGCAGAAGATGAAGGGCGCCTGTCCGGAGGACAAGAAGATGATCGAGGAGATTGCCTGCGCCATCATGAGCTGCAAGAAACAGCCGGTTTGCGTTCCAGGACCCTGCCCCAAGCCCTGTCCGCCACCCTGTCCAGGTCCTTGTCAAGGTCCCTGTCCGGAGAGCAGCAGCAGCAGCATTGCCCCATGTCCTCCACCCTGTCCGCCAAAAAGAAGGCCTCAAAAAGCTGCAACTTGCCCGATGCAACAATCCTCACCCGCCGCCAAGTGCGAGTCTCTGGAGAAGCTGAAGCGACGCATCCAGAGCATGCAGTGCTCGGTCAAGAAGTTGCTCCAGGAAGTGACCAATCGGGATGGTCCGGAGCCCTGTGAGGGCGACGACGACAGCGAGGAAGGTGAGGAAGATCCCTGCTCCAGACCCTGTCCGCCCAGGCCCCCGTGTCCCGAGGATCCCGACCCACTGGTCATCTGCGGCGGCAAGCGGAACACCAAGGCCGACAAGTACGAGAAGATGAAGGAGAACTACACCAGGCTGCTGACCGAGTTCCAGCGCAAGGACTGCCAGATGAAGGAGATGCAGAAGCGGTTGGTCTTACTTAAAACTATATATTAATATGAAATTAAAGATCTCTTTCTCCTGCAGAATGAAGGGCATCTGCGGACCCTGCCCATCGAAGGGGGGTGATGGGGATGCCGATGCCGCGGAACTAAATCTACTTCGCGCCCGAGTCAACGAACTCAAGGAGGAGCAGTTGGAGTTCAAGTGCATCATGAAGGAGCAGTCGCAGCAGCTGGAGGATTACCGCAACAAGTACCTGTTGGCCCAACAGAAGGTCGAGGAGCAGTGCGTCTCCCTCGAGAAGCTGAACATGAACAACAAACGAATCGAACAGCAGATCAACACCGAGGTCAAGGAAATCCGAGCCAAGTTCCAGGAGAAGCTTAACGAACTGCTCCACTTTCCCAAGCTCCTGGAGAATGAGCAACTGAAGCTGGCCCAGGTGTGCAAGGAGAAGGACGAGATGCAGACGAAACTGGTGGTGGTCTGCAAGGAGCTGAAGGCCTGCAAGGCCCAGCTGGAGCAGCAGCCCAATGTGGATGTGAGACCCCAGTTGGCCCAGTGCCAAATGGAACTGACCCAGGCCAGGAACGAACTGGAGGAGCTCCTTCGACAGCGGGATCTCTTCTGCGAACAGCTCAAGTCCACACAAGACGATCTGGACACCTTGCGCACCGAGTCCGCCAAGATTATAGCCGGCACCAAGGAACGGGCTGAGCTGATCAAGTCCCAGCAGCAGGAGCAGATCAATCGGCTGGAGAAGGAGCTGGCCCAGTGCCGAGCAACGGCCTCGCTGTCGGTCAATGATCGGGAGGCTGTGATCCGAGAGATGCAGGGTCAGCTGAATACCCTCTCCTACAGCTTCGATGCCGCCCAGAAGCAGATCAAAACGCTGCGCAATCACATCGCCTATGTGTCCAATGAGAACTGTTTCCCCGTCAAGTGCTAAGTGGTGAAATAAGCGAACTACAGACTCATCGAAACATGTGCAACATACTGGCGTGCCTGTGCAAAAAAATGATACATTCTTTTGTTAACTATTTGTAAACCAAATCCTAGTCAATCTTATAAATATATTACTATTCTTTCGGCCAATTTGGATTAAATTGATTTTTGTCGATATGCAATAATACAGATTTGGATCACAAGGACAAAACGAGTGTGACAAACGTAGTTTGTTGGAATTCTATAGTCATTACAGACCTTCCGCACACGAATAGGCGATTAAAAACTAATAATTCCTTCTACTTATAAAGCACTAGCTTGTACTTATCTGACGCTCTTTCTCATCGCAGCTTATCTGCTTTTCAACAGTCTAGAACATTATACGATTCAGGTTAGGTAACCACAGCTGGGGCTTTTTGTTTTGGCGCTCCATAGGAAACAAATAGATATTGCTTTATTCTGGCATTTGAGAGGAACAACTACAAATGGTCGGTTTGTGTACGTTAAGGAGGAGCGCTCCTTGCGGCTAATGGCACACTGGATATAAATCTACAGGGACTTAACGGCCAGTCTCTTCATTTTGGGCGCATTCCTCTTGGCCTGGCGTTTCTGCTCCTTGGCCTCCCAGCGGCGCTGCTTCTCCGGGTCCTCGTCGGCCAGGATGCGCTCCTTCTCCTGTTTGCGCTTGTCCTCGCGTCGCTGAGCAGCAGCTTCGGCACGAGCGGCATGAGTGCTCTTCAAGAACTCCTCCTCCACGCGCTGGCGATTTTTGTCGGACTTGGCTTTACCCTGAAATGTCATTAAATTAGTCTTAGCTCATACAAAACTCCCCTATATTAATCATAGATAAGTACCTCCTTGGACATGCGATAAGTCTTCAAACGCTCCATCAAATAAAATATTAACAATAACAACGGTTTAATGGTTTCCATTTCGGCGTGCTTCGGCAGATTGAAGCCGGCGAGGAGAACGGCTTTGGTCTCGGGCTGCTTTAAGGTGCCGCCCTCCTCCTGCTGGATGGGTCCACTGAATTGGTCCGAGATGTGCAGGTAATCGATATAGCTTTGGTACTTATTAAGTGCAGTAATAACACGTGACTCGAGGATGGCAGACGTGGCCTCTGGGACTTCGGAGAGCACGCCAAAGCCGGTGGGAACATTGTAGCGATCCTCCGGCTTGCCGACTAGACTACAGAACTTGTTCTGTTCGTGAAAAGGGATGTGCGTTATTAAATGTAAGTAAGTATAACTCAAGTTTATTCTCTTACCAGATCCGTGTACTCCTTAAACACCTTTGTTATGGTCTTTTTGGTTCCAACTGCAAATACGAATGCATCCATCACACCGCGTGTGAGTTCAATTTTGATGTGGGCCTGATCGAGCTGTGGTCGCATTAATCCCGCCACCAAGGACACCAGATCCTGTCGCTTGATCATCTTAAGCTCAACGAGCATGCCCTCGCAGCAGGTCCTGCCTGAGCACCACAGGGTGTACAGGCTCTCGCTCTCCTTTATCAGTCCCGGATTCTCGTTCTCCGCCTTGCCATCATCGCCCACCAACGCGAAGTTTTCATCCAGCAGGGCTCTGTGCGTACTGAACCAGAGCTGCGCTAGACGAGCGTTCTTGGCCTTTCCCGCAAAGAAGTTGGCAAAGTAGGCAAGTAGGCCGGCCACCATGAGCATTTCCATCCAATAGGAGTCCCAGTGGGTGCGGAAGTGCAGCGGGATATTGGGTATGTTGAGTTTGGGCTCAACTTTCTGGTCGATGGGCGGATCCTTGGAGTCTCCGCCATCGTAGCCCTCGAACTCTTCCTCGTCCTGGAAGTATTAAGTAAGTATTAAGTATATAATATTTGATTTAGTTTCAATGGCGGTAATGATATAAAGAATATACAATAGATGTGATGTTGTGAAATAAGTTCTTAGAGGACAAATGCTACTTTATAACGTTCGAAGTTCAAGATACATAGGAATAAAAACATGTGCGTACAGTCGATCTTCAGTAACTGTAACTGATATCTAGTTACATAAGTGGGTGGCTAACAATTTTAATAATTTTTACATATTTGACGTTGCAGTGCGTCAAATACTTTTAACTATAGAGTTGGTTTACATATATATTTATATAGCTAAGGTGAAAGTTTGAAAACCTTGTTTTAATTAGCCAATGATTTTTAAAACTTCCCAACGGAACAGTAGA